GCCCTCTTCAGCAGGCGCAGAGATATTTCTTACAGGACGAACAAACCTAGAAGGAGATGTGAAAAGATATAGACCAGGATATGCTCCACTCATGCTCAACGGGATGTATCCAACCTCCAAATCAACTGGGATCTACTGTCCATTAGGTGCATAATAAGTCACTAAGCAAAAGATCTTTTGCAAAAAGAAGTCGATCAGAAACAAACCGATATCGCTGACACTTTCAATCTTCGCAAGTATGTAACAGCTTCTTCAATTTTATCAGATCGCATACTGCCCACAATACGACCATCCAGTAGGACAGACAGCTCTTCAGGGGGGCCACCTTTCACAAGCTTTGGCGCTGATGGTATCATTCCAATTGTGGTCAACACGCGCAATATGGACTCCCGGATTTTGAAGAAGTCTTTAATATTTCCCTTCGAATCATAGTATGACGTGATGCCTAGTAACAGAATGATTGTATTAAGTGGATAGCAATTTTGCATTGTGTTTTCCAAATAAAATGGAGATATTAATCAAAGGACATTGGACCTCACAATCATACTTGGTTTGAAGTGTAAGCATTTAGTGCTAAAATTGAATATTTGACTGAAAAAGAGCAAAGAAACAATGTTATGTCATACACTATCAGGACTTCACATTCCCTGTTTAATTACTGATGTGAATATGACGCAAGGAGTTCGTGGTACGTGCAGCAAATGATGGGCAATTGGAGCAATGCATGTAGTAGCATAGAAGAGGAAGTTACAGTAACAGAGTAACACTAGGGGACGCAAAATTCCAAATAAGGTTAGTGATATACAGGTTAACTTCACCCCTGAAAGCACCAGTGGTGATTGGGAAGTGGCAATGCCCCTCCTATTCTGGGTTAACAATTAGTTTTCTCCTTGCCATATTGATTCAGCAAGTGGTGAAACAATGGGAGCAGGAGCAAGATTTCATAAAAGAAAAAGGTTAAGTAAAAAAAAAGAGCAAAAACAAGACTATATCCCAAAGTTAGGTTGGTGAACACAATCGACAGCACAAGGAAAGGGAACTTACGGCAAGATGCAGTCATATGATTAAGCAACCCACATGGCTCCCCATCAGGTGTGTGAACAGGACAAAGGAAACCCCAAGATCTGAAAAATAGTGGGAAGTGCCACAAAAGTATGAATGAAAACTTAATAGTGATTTCCCATGAAAATAAAGCAATTGGGCCGCAGACAAAAAAACAACATACTCAGGTAACAACTTCCGCACACTTGTCGTACGAAGGCCAGCAAATGAGGCACCTCGATGAACTGCTCGGANAGTTATCCCTTTCTATTCTATCCACCAACCCTCGGGGAAGAAGAGAATTCTATCTGAGACTCCGCTGTCAAAGAAACTTAAATAGCGGCCTATCCAAGCGCTTAAACTTAAAATAGCCAGCAGATAATATATGTATAATCCATATACAGAAGGGGAGCATTGGCGTAACCGGTAAAGTTGTTGCCATGTGACTAGGAGGTCACGGTTCGAGCCGTGGAAATAGCCTCTTGCAGAAATGCAGAGTAAGGTTGGGTACAATTGACTCTTGGGGTCCAACCCTTCCCCGGACCGCATAGCGGGAGCTTAGTGCACCGCACTGCCCTTTGTTTAATAATTCATATATAATGTGTGTAGAACCGTGTATAATCATTATATAATCTATGTATACTAGCTAGAAAAAGTAAACAATGAATTCGACCGACTAATTGTAAAGATCCCCAACGAAAACCACTAAAAATAGACTATCTTTAAAGCCCATGTTCTTTTTGCTCGCTATGGTACCCAATCTACTTGGTGTAGTTTCTCCAACAAGGCACTCTGTGTATTCCTTTTGTCAAGTATTTCAATCCAACACTGCATGTATGTTAGCTTTGTGGCATAACAGAACAGAATCTTCAGATGTAATTCAATTGAATTCTTTCTCCATTTTCTGTTAGTTTTGTTAGGTTTTCCTTCCTGTGAGAACTTTTTACCGATTATTAACTGTTCAATTTCTTTTAGTATCCCCATGTGTTCTCTTTTTTCTTTTTTGATTGGTCTGCCTTCCTATATGAATCTTATGGTAGTTATCAGATAAAACAGAGAAAAGAAAGCTTAAACTCGTTTTCCTTTCAGAAGACAAAAATTTTGAGTTCTGCCATATGAAGAATAAGAAAGACAGTTAGGAAGAACCATCAGTTGCAAATGCAAATTTCTTAGTTGTTGGTGCTTCGTATAAAAGCAGCATAAATAAATACCTGCTGCAAGTCAAGACCTGATTGTGTAACCAATCTCCCAGTCTTTAACATGTTCTCAATAGCCAAGCTCATCTGTTTGGGAGCATTTTTTTCAATAGTCTTCTTGACATCTGCCACTGCAATATACATAAAAGCAGATGAAGTCAATCCAATATTCTACCTGAGTTCTAGGAGGAAGCTGATTTAATTATCTTATGCAAGGTACATGAGCATTCTCTGACATGGATGTTTAAGGTTATCTTATTTGTAGGTGAATCATAGGCCTGCATATATTGGTGATCACTTAATGATGAAAAAAACGGAAAAGAGACTGAAAAATGGAGAGAAGAAATATAACTTTGGCCCGGATTTAATTTATTGAAATTGATATAACTGAATGGGAAAAAAAGAGGGAAGTTTGGACTTTCTGGACATTAGTACCTGTGTTGCAACATTAAAATAACCATGATAATGACCAATGTAGGACGGGCAAAAAAGGCATAAATATTCAGACGAAGTCTGGACCGGACCAATTCCAGAACGTTTACAGGGATGTCCCAAATTATTCATCGGTCCATGCAAGTTGCATGCTAAGATCAGGAACAGATTCACGGGTGAAAACTGATGTGAAACTTTGACATTTTTTTTTATAAGATAAATAAATTTCATTAATATTCGGCCACAAAAGCACCTGTATACAAGTAGTATACAGAAAAGAAGAGAAGATGTGAAGCTTTTTAAAAAAATAAACTTTGTACATAACTTACAAATTTCTGCAACATTTTTGTGAAATCACTCATCATAGCCATGCAAATATATCTACAAAGTGATATAAACTAAGATGGATAAAATAGGTAGATGGAACATACAGCTACTTAGCTCAAACTTCTTTTTTTCACCATCAGTTTCTTCTTGAAGTAACCTTTGTAATCTAAGCAGCCAGTCTTGTAGCTTTTCCTGTAAATGTGCTAGAGAATGTCAAGACAAAGTTAAGATTGCAAATACAGCAAAAAGAATTTACCATCAACTAATACAACCAATGCAAAACTGCAAAATCCAAGTAGATAACAGTCATGTCAGGGAAAACAAAAGAACATTCTGATTCAGAAATGGTGTGGATCTGTAAAAGCTTAACACAAGTCAACACATAAAATTGAATATCTCATGTGAGGAAGACATTAAACAAGTTTGATAATATAATTAGAAGATCACTTAATATATTAAGTGCCACTTTTTAAATGCTTCACGAATCATAACACAAAATCAATTAGACTTCATCTCAAACTTGTCAACCATTACATGTCGGTACCAAAACGAATATATTTCAACATATATTGTCAGATTAACATATTTATGATTAAATAACATTATTTTTAGTGCATATGGAAGTTAAAAGAACATAAACTGGTTAATTGCTTAAAGGTTAGTGACTTCAATTATGCAGTAAATTAAAGTTGACTTTTATCTAAAAAATTTAGTTTTACCACACAGCTCCCAAGATGTAATATTTGCCACATCCTCATGTTTTGTAATGAGTAAAAGAGAAATTAATAATGGAATAGAAGCACCAAGAAGGTGGAAGGATAGAAGAAAGAAAAGTAAAAAATCAAAGTACTAGAGTGTGAAAGGATAGAAACTTTCAAGTGGAAACTGAAGGAATCCATGAACCGCGCTAATTCTTTTATCCCCTTCATACCTAAGATACGAGAAGTCTAAACACTAAAATTTAGACCTATGAACAGGAAGCATGGAGCACCCATATTGCATGCTATCCCTCTACTTCGACAACATCAGCACATGAGGCAGTGTGGAAATATATATTCAGAATTCTGTATCTATCTTTTTGATCTTCAAACCAGCCCATGATGTAACGCTATCCCGTAAACAGAGGCATTGACTCATTATGTGCCAAATGGGAATAGAACATTTGCTAGAGCTCTCCTGCTAGTTCACAATGTAATAGAAGATATCTACATTCCCTTAAAGTGTTCTTTTAATCGTTAAAGAGAACTAAGGAAGTGATGTGTAACTGCACACAATGTTATAGAGCTAAACAAAACGTAATACAGTCACAAGAGCAGCCACTTGTCCTTCAAAACATCACACATTTCTATTAAGTGCCTTGTGCAAACAAAAGAAAATATATATCCATAAAATACTGCAACCACAAGCTGTCGCAGATAACTTTAGCACTTGTAGTATGATTAACTCTCAACTTAAAAGACCTACTTAGTATTGGACTTAAATGGGCATGAACATAACACAATTGATGGAGATGATTCACTCCAGCAAACATCAACTAGTATGGGTTTGAGGTATAGTTGATTGCTACTTAATTCATCCTGGATATAAGATTTTTTAGCACAAAGGGAGAATGACAAGACATATTGCTGCGCGGCACTCACTATTTAAGCATTACATTCAATATCACAAGACAATTATTCCTTAAAAGAAATAATTTCAAAGTTTGGACCTTGAGATAAATAGTAATTAAGTGACCCGGCAGCAAAACTTCTTGATTTTGCAGAGAGTCTGGATTGTCCAGGACAGAAGTCTGGTCTATAAGAGAAAAAAGCTTCTGCAACATAAAGCTAAATAAAGCAGGAGTATCAGTATATCAATAGCCAAAACATACAACTGTAGGTGGAAGAGTAACCATAAAATCACAAGACAACTTCCAAAGAAGAAAAATACTAACATAAGTAGATTGAATTTATCATGATTGTTATCCAGATGGACAAATATGTAGTCTCTTAGCACAGCATCAGCAACCTGCCAAGAGAAACAGAGAGGAGTATGTGACGTACGGGTATCAAATCTAGACAAAAAATGTTTGTTCTGACTATTAGAAATAAATCATGTCACGGACAAACAACCAAGATAATACTTACAGTATTGTAACTACAATTTTGCATTCCTGTCATAACGGGTTGGAAATGCTCCCCTGAAAAGTAGAAGATTGATCATATGCAGTCAACAGTCGTGATAAGGTGCAGTTAACCTTGATAGGAAACAGAACAAGTACCAATATGTTGGAGGCACTGTGCTCGGGTGAAAAGAGATAAAGCTTGAACTTCATCCAGAATAATTTTTGCTCTTTCACCGACAAGCTGGGTGCCAACAGATCCCTTTACTCGGTCATATTCCTCATTGTAGCAACATGTTAAATTGACGTATATTTCGTGATCAGTAGTGTCAACAAGGGCCTGGGGACACATAAATACGGTAAGAAGTCTAGCAGAGTAGACAAGGTAAGCGGGATAAAGCCTAGTGGTTTCTAGCAACCCCCCCCCCCC